AGATCGGCTGTGCAGGAGACCTGCCTCGAGCTGAGGGGCAAGGGTAGCGGTTTCTCTCAAGGCAAGTTGCTGCTTGTTTGTTTCTTTATGTTTTTGATTTTTGGATGGCACACCGGGCATCCACTGGGAAGGTTTATGTTGGGGAGACAGACCAGCGAGAGCTGGGTTTGTGTCTGCTTTGTGAAGAGGCTGAGCCGAGCGCCCTGTGAGTTCAGCCAGCCAGAACCGGGAAAGGAGGGGTGGAGCTCTGTCTACCTCTCCTGCAAGCTCGGTGGACGACCTGCAACAGGAAAGGGGCTACATCAACTCTCTGAAGCCCCAGATGCTCCAGCTGGGCACAGTTTGGTAGGCAAAGGGAGAACAGCCACGAGGAAGACATTCCTAGAGTAAGGCTATTGTTTTGTTTAGTTTGTTTGTTTGTTTCTTTTCCAATATTTTCTTGATATACTCTGCTTTACTCACAAACATTAAGGACAAAGGGAGAATCTTAAGGGCCTTAAGAAACTATCAGTGACCTATACAGGAGCTCCCAAAAGGCTGTCAGGTGATTTCTCAACAGAAACACTACAGGCCAGAAGGGAATGGCATGAAGTATTCAAGGTAATGAAAAGCAAGAATCTGAAATCAAGGCTACTCTGTCCAGCAAGGCTATCATTCAAAATAGATAGTGAAATAAAGAGTTTACCAGACCAAAAAAAGGGATAAAGGGGTTTATTACTACCAAGTCAATATTGCAAGAAATGTTAAAGGGACTGCTGTACTAATAAGAAGAAATATATATAGAAACATAGGCATAAAGAATAAAAATGGCAATAAATAAGTACCTATCATTAATAACCTTAAATGTAAATGGATTAAATGCTCCAATCAAAAGACATAGGATAGCTAAATGGATAAAAAAAATATGACTCACATATATGGTGTCTACAGGAGACTCACTTCAGAATAAAAGACTCACACAGCATAAAAATGAAGGGATAAAAAAAAATGAAGGGATAGAAAAAATTTTACATGCAAATGGAAAAAAAATCGGGGGTAGTAATACTTATATTTGACAAAATAGACCTCAAAGCAAAGACCATAACAAGAGACAAAAAAGGACACTACATAATACTGAAGGGTTAGAGCCAACAAGTGGACATAACCCTGGTAAACATATATGCATCCAATATAGGAGCACCTAAATATATAAAAAAACACTTAGAGATCTTTAAGGGAGAAATCAACAGCAATACAGTAATAGCAGGGGACTTTAACACTCCACTTACATCACTGGTTAGATCATCCAGACAAAAAAAATCAACAAGGAAACAGAGACCTTAAATGACACACTAGATCATATATATTTACTTGACATTTACAGAACATTTCACTCCAAAGCTACAGAATATATATTCTTCTCAAATGCACACAGCACATTCTCACATGTTAGGACACAAATTAAGTCTCTACAAGTTCAAGAAGATTGAAAACATACCAAGCATCTTCTCATATCACAATGGCATGAAACTAGAATTCAACCACAATAAAAACACTCAAAAACATCCAAACACATGGAGGCTAAATAATATGTTATTAAACAATGAATAGGTTGTCAATAAATCAAGGAAGAAATAAAAAACTTCATGGAAACAAATAAAAATGAACATACAACAAAATCCATGTGTTCCAAAATCCATAGAACACAGCAAAAGCAGTCCTGAGAGGAAGTTCACAGCATTACAGGCCTACCTCAAGAAACAAGAAAAAGCTTTAGTAAACTATCCAACACTACAACTAAAAGAATTAGAAAGACAAGAAAAGTCCAACGTATATAGAAGGAAGGAAATAATAAAGATCAGAGCAGAAATAAATGACATAGAGACTAAAAAATAAAATACAAAAGATCAATGAATCCAAGAGCTGGTTCTTTGAAAAAATATACAAGATTGATCACCCATTAGCCAGACTCATTAAGAAGCAAAGAGAGAGGGCCCGGATAAATAAAATCAGAAACCAAAGAGGTGAGGTAACAACTGACACCACAGAAATACAAAGGAGTATAAGGAAATATTATTAACAGCTATAGGGCCAATAAGCAGGACAACCTGGACAAAATGGACAAATTCCTAGAAAAATACAATCTTCAAAATCTGAATTAGGAAGAACCAGAGCCCCTGAATAGGTCCATAAAACTGACCAAAAAAATCAACAAGGAAACAGAGTTTTGTCCAACATTCAAAGAACTATCACCTCTCCTCCTCAAACTATTTCAAGAAATCCAAACACTTCCAAGCTCTTTGATGAGACCAGCACTATCCCAATTGCAAAACCAGATAAGGACAATACAAAAAAAGAGAATTACAGGCCAATATTCCTGATGAACACAGATGCTAAAATCCTCAACAAAATATTAGCAAATCGGATCCAGCAATATCTTAAAAAGATCATACCCCATGACCAAGTAGGATTTATTCCAAGGATTCAAGGCTGGTATAATGTTCACAAATCAATAAATGTGACATATCACATAAACAAACTGAAAGACAAAAACCAGATGATCATATCAAGAGGCACAGAAAAAGCATTTGACAAAATCCATCATCTATTTTTGATAAAAACTCCCAGCAAAGTGGGAATAGAGGGATCATACCTCAACATAATAAAGGCCATATATGACAAACCTACAGCCAACATCATACCCAATGAGCAAAAACTAAAAGCATTGCCCCTAAGAACAGAAACAAGGCAGGGATGTCCGCTTTCACCACTCTTATTCAACATAGCACGGGAAGTACAGTGAGTAGACAAGAAGAAGAAATAAAAGGCACCCAAATTGGAAAGCAGGAAGTAAAATTGTCCTTATTTGCAGATGACAGGATACTGTACATAGAAAACCCTAAAGACTCCACCAAATCACTACTAAATTTAATAAATGAATTCAGCAATGTAGCAGGATACAAAATTAACACCCAGAAATTGATGGCATTTTTTAAAAACATATTTTATTGATTTCAGAAAGGAAGGGAGAGGTAGAGAGAGATAGAAACATCAATAATGAGAGAGAATCATTGATTGGCTACGTCCTGCACACCCCACACTGGGGATGGAGCCCACCACCTGACCATATGCCATGACCTCCTAGTTCATAAGTCAACACTCAACCACTGAGCCACGCCAGTCAAAGTTATGGCATTTTTATACACCAATAATGATATCTCAGGAAGAAACTAAAAAGACAACCCCATTTACCACTGCAAAAAAAAAAAAGATATTTGAGTATAAATTTAACCAAGGAGATAAAAGATGTATACTCGGAAAACAGGACATTGAATAAAGAGATAGAAGAAGATGTAAACAAGTGGAAGAATATACCATATTCATGGATTGGTATATCAACATTATAAAAATGTCCGACAATGAATCACAACAGAGAACCCAGAAATCAATCCAAGCCATTATGCTCAATTAATATTTGACAATGGAGACAAAAGTATACAATGGAATAAAAACAGTCTGTTCAATAAATGCTGTTGGGAAAATTGGACAGGTACATGCAATAAAATGAAACTAGACCACCTACTTACACCATAGATAAGAATAAATTCAAAATGGATAAAAGGCTTAAATGCTAAGTCATGAAACCATAAAAATCCTAGGAGAAAACATAGGTAGCAAAATATCAGACATCTCATAACGCAGAATTTTCACAGATACATTGCCTAGAACAAGAGAAACAAGAAAAAAATAAACAAATGGGACTGCATCAAACTAAAAAGCTTCTGTGCAGCAAAAGAAACGAGCATCAAATTGAAAAGAAAACCCACTGTATGGGAGAACATATTTTCCAGTGATACATCTGATAAAGGGTTAATTTCTAAAATATATAAAGTACTCATACAACCCAACAAAAGGAAGACAACAATCCAATAAAAAAAATGGCCAGAAGACCTAAATAGACACTTTTCCAAAGAGGACATACAAATGGCCAAGAGATATAGAAAATGCTCAACATCAGTAATTATCAGAGAGATGCAAATTAAAATGACAATGAGGGCCCTAACTGGTTTGGCTCAGTGGATAGGGTGTTGGCCTGTGGACTGAAAGGTCCCAGGTTCGATTCTGGCCAAGGGCATGTACTTTGGTTGCGGGCACATATAAAAAATTATATGCATAGCCCATGGACAAACAATAGTGAGGGGAAAGCCTGTGGAGTGGGTGGAGGGGGGTCAACAGAAGAAATAAAAGAGATATCAGTAATACTTTCAACAAAAACAAGTTTTACAGACATTCTCTTCTACATTTAGAAAACTGTTGGTTCTCTGGGGAAAAGGAAGGCATTGAAATAAGAGTAAGGTCCCTTTAAGCCAAGCATCCAAAGTGTGCAGGGGTGATGTGGCCCCATAGATTGCATGCAGAAGGCTTGAGTTTTAGTTCTGACACCTTTACTTGTTGGCTCTGAGACCTTAAAGAAGCAATTTCTAATCTTGGAGTGACCATTGCTTCATTTTTCATTGAGAGCACTGGATTGATGACCTCCAAGTCCTTCCTGCTCTAGCAATCACTGACTCGGCTATGTTGGGCATCTTGAATAATTAGGAGAAGAAACCAGATTTAGAATCTTACTATCGCAAAAGTGGTTTAAAAAATAATAATAATAATGAGCCTAAACTGTTAATATGCTTCTCTAGTTTCTTCTGTTAAGGTGAGGATCCTGACACTTAAACCTCGGCCCGCCATCCTCGGAGCAACAACAAAGGTAAGGATAATAGCTGGGGAAAGGCGCTGATAAGGAAAAGCTCAGCTCTCAACTCTAAGGCTCTCAGCTGTAGTGCCTGGAGATCTGGCTCATCTCCCTAGTATCCTGACATTCAATCACTTGGCTTTGTGAAATGGGTTGCTTTCAAATGCCAAACCAAGACTTTGTGTACAAGGCTTGCAGTAAAGTGCATGAGACTTTGGAACTTGACTACTGAAACATTTTATTCTGCTAGTTATTGAATTACCACGGCTCTAGAGTTTGAAGCTAAAGACTCTTATCTTTTACCCCATTGAAGCAGCTCTGACCGATTAACCCTGTGGACAGGAAAGCATGGCAAAGAAGGTGGCAGTGATTGGAGCTGGTGTCAGTGGCTTGGCCTCCATACGGTGCTGTCTGGAAGAGGGGCTGGAGCCCACCTGCTTCGAAAGGAGCAATGATGTTGGAGGCCTGTGGAAATTCTCGGTGAGTGGCACACCACTGGAACACCAAGAGAAAGGAGATGGGTTATACAGCAAATTAAATCTAACCAGTTCTAATTCGGACGTGGAGGAAGGTCACAAAAAGTTCCAGATCTGGAAAGTAAAATCTCACCTCTCTCATCTCACTAATGTCCAATCATTCAGAACTATTTCACACCAGCAAAGGGCTTATTGTGAAAAGGATGTCTCCAACTTATTAAACACTAGAGGCCCGATGCACGAAATTTGTGAAAGCGTAGGCCTTCACAGCCACGATGGCTGCCTGGATCCCTCCCTCGCAGCCACGGCGGCTGCCTCGATCCAGCAGCTGCAGGCCCGGCTTCATCCGGAAGGTCATCCGGAAGGACGTCCAGTCTAATTAGCACATTGCGCTTTTATTATTATAGATTGTGACCAGTCTGACAAAGCCCAGATCTCCAAACTGCAAAGAGTGCTAATGTCAGTAATTAGACAAAAATCACCCCACTGCCTCCCCGTGTGACTGACAGGATTCTGAACCTATTGCTCTTAAATCCTAGGAACCTGGAAGAAAAGGAAAAGAAAAACCTAGTTGGGGTCAGAAGTCCCAAGTTCTAGTCTCAACTCCTAGGTTTTCTGGGCAGATAGATTTTAGGCAAGTCACTTTTCTTTCTGGGCCTCAAATGCTCATTTGTCAAATGCAGAGGCTGGAAATTAAGTTCTTGCTAGTGTGTCTTCCAGTTCTAATGGGTTGATTCTATAATTAACTCATGTCTACTGGGAAAGCATTATAAGCTTTCATAAATGACTGTGTGTGTGGGTTGTGTGATTACTGACTACTCTATGAATTCCAAATCCAGAGGAAAAACAGATTGCCTACCATTCAGCTTCATTGCTGTAGAAATAATAAGGAAATATTCATTATAAACACCATTTTTAAATTTCAAAAGCCAACTTTGGAAAAAAATCTAGCTTTTTGTTGTGAATTCCCCAACCATTGTTATTGGATGTAGGCAATATGTATTTGGCTTAAAGACATTAATTATATCCACATCATTCACCTTGTTAATGTATTCTCCCTTGGTCTGTTGTAACCCAACCTGCAACAACAGGTTGCTATAATAGAGTGTTATCAGTGTGAATTTAGAACACATTTGTATTCACCTCAAAAGCTTATATATAAAAAATTGGGGCCCTGGTTAGTGTGACTCAGTTGGTTGATTGTTGTCCTATGCACCAAAAGGTCACTGTTTCAAATCCTGGTCAGGGCACATGCCTAGATTGCCAGCTCAATCCCTGGTAGGGGACACGCAGGAGGCAGCCAAATGATGTATCACTCTCACATCAATGTTTCTCTCTCTCCCTCTCTCTTTCTCCCTCTCTGAAATCAATGAAAACATTTTTTTTTTAAAATTAGGGGTCCTATAATCCTGAAAATATTACATAAGTTATAAGATCATTAATTTTCATTTTTCATTAGGGAATCATCAAGAGGTTATTGTTTTTTAAGAATTCGGTTTTCTGCCCTAGACTGTTTTAGTCAGTGGGTAGAGTGTTGGCCTGGGGACTGAAGGATCCCAGGTTCAATTCTGGTCAAGGGCCCTGGGCATGTGCAGAAGGCAACCAATCGATGTGTTTCTCTCACAATGATATTTCTCTGTCTTTCCCTCTCTCTTCCACTCTCCCTAAAAATCAATGGAAAAATATCCTCAGGTAAGGATTTTTTTTAAAAGAACTCAGGTTTCTTTACACACACAGCCCAATATATTTTTATTGATTTCAGAGAGAAAGGGAGAGGGAGAGAGAGATTGAAACATCAATGACAAGAGAGAACCATTGGTTGGCTGCTGACTGCACGCCCCATACTGGGGATTGAGCCCACAACCTGGGCCTGGGCCCCGACCATGACCTCCAGGTTCAAAAGTCGATTCTCAACCACTGAACCATGCCAGCTGGGTCGGTTTTCTTTATTTACATTTGCTCAGGGAGATATGGCCAGCTTTGCCTAAATCATGAAATGGTTCTCTGTTATCTCATTAGCAACAATTAAATGCTGCTTGAGCATCTATTTTGGCAGAGTTGTGTATTAGGTAGTAAGATGACTAATATAGGTGACATAGTCACTCTACATAAATAGTTTCTGCTCCATCTGGTGAAACAAGCTACCACATAGATCCACAATCCTTTTATCAAAATGGGCAAAAGCTCCTTTGATAGCAAATGAGTCCTAAAGTCTTACAAAGCATGAGCTGAACCCACAAGACTATTTATAGTCTTCACTTGTTCCACTTTGTGTTTCTCTGCAGAATTTTATTGCATTTTATTTATAGGGTTTCTCCCCCTCCCAGATCTCACAAGGAGTATTATGGAAAATCATCCCCAAGTCTATAAATTCTAAAATATATGTGGCCAGAAGAGTTTCAAATATGAGATTATGGAACCTTACAACAATCAGGGGTCCTCAAACTTTTTAAACAGGGGGCCAGTTCACTGTCCAGACCGTTGGAGGGCCGGACTATAGTTTAAAAAAAAATTATGAACAAATTCCTATGCACACTGCACATATCTTATTTTGAAGTAAAAAAACAAAACGGGAACAAATACAATATTTGTATTTGCATGTGGCCCGCGGGCCTTAGTTTGAGGACCCCTGAACTAGATTGTCAACGTGGTGACTGTTAACTTAATGAGCAAGTGCCTTGAGATTTAGAAGAGGGTGGACTACTGAAACCTCAGCAGGTTAGGGAAAACTTCCTGCACTGATGGCTGTTGGCTGAGACTTGAAGGATGTCCACTAGGTGACACACTACAGAGAGTGCCATTGCCACTGTTGCCTGTGAATGGCACCCTGCAGATGCCCAGTGTCCAACAGGGTGACAATACCAGGTGGAAGAGGTTTCTAGATAGGGTAACCAGCACTCCAGAGAAGGCACTGAACATGGTGTACCCAGGGGTCCAAGTTAAGCAGTGCAGCCAGATCAGATGATAGGTCGGTAAGATGCAAAGTTAGACTCTGTGCTATCCGCAAAGTCAGACTCTGTGCTATCCTTTCCATGAGGTCATGTATATAAGCAAAATTATATCAAAGGCCCTATGTTGCTACAAACATTACAAAAATTGTAAACTTTAGCCCCCTCCACATATCACAATCCTTCCTTCTTTTCAAAGAAAAGTGGCTTGGTACAATGTCTGATCAGAAAGGGATTTTTGAAAAATGTATTATATAAGCTATCATGTTGCAAGTCCTGTTAGGCAAAGGTGTTCCAGAAGAAAGAAACCTGATCATTCTGAACTTTTCACTGTGTGCTTTTCCTATAAAATAAAAGCCAAATTGGGTTTACACGCTAGCCGGTTGAGTATGAGCATGTTTTAAGTTTCACATACTCTCTAACAGGGCCTCCTGGCCTCAAACAATTTTAATCTGCTGTAATAAGAGCTTGCTCAACAACCTGAGTACAATAGATCAGAACATTTTGGCTGTAAAGGGGGGAAACAGAACTATCTGAACTTTTGTTCTACTTATCTATTCATTTATTCATTCAACAAATATACATATTTGTGTAATTATGTATATGGCACTGTGTTAAGCATAGCTGCAGATAAGAGGTATGGCAGGCAGCTAGTATTTCAAAAGCAGAGAGAAAGGAAGCATTACGATAGCTATATACAAGTGAACGTGTGAGGAGGGCAGTGAAGACCATCAGAGCATGGTGGAGGGAGATGATTTCCAGTTGGTGAGGAGGAAGGCAAGGAAAGGCATGAGGGAGGAGGCAATTTCTGAGCTGGACCTCGAGGGTACATTTAGATCAAGAGAAATGAGACTGATAAGCAGAGACGGAAAACGAAAGGAGATCAAGGCAGACTACTAAAATGCACGTACAGCGTTCTTGAACTTGCCTCTGACCTTGCCCTCAAGTTGCTTATGTTCTATCTAGCAGCAAAGATGAGACATGGATGCAGTGATAACTCCAGGCAGGTGGTGAGAAACTGCCTGTAGCTGCTTGGATCTCTGGGTTTAGGGCAAGCTCTCTCAGCCAGAGGCAGAGTCTGAGCTTCATTTCTGCCTTACGGAACCACCCAACATATTGAAATAATGAAAATGGGAGCTCTCTGGAGCAACTGTCTGTTGTTATACAATACATCTATTTCCTTTTGTTTTGGAGAACAGCCTCTTGTGGGGAGGGAGGGAATCCAAGGAGCTGTGGGACACACATTCTTCTCCCTGTGTTCTGATTGGCTGGGGTCCAGGGGCCAAAGGGCATAGATTCATTCAACATGGAAATCATTCAAGAGCAGAAGCTTACATTTTTTAAACTAGTCCCCAGCCTGCACCTCAGCAATCCCTGCCTTCAATGGGCAGCTGAGAAACCTCCTTCAACCCTTCTTCTCTTAACTGTCAATGAAAGGCACCAGCTGTGGGGAACAGGGAAGACAGATGTGAGAACATCCCAAGCATGAGCCTTCTCTTTCTGACTTAGCAGAAACTTTCAATTGAGGTTTAAAAAGTTAAAATGTGAGCTTACAGCAACCACGAGAAGATGAAGTGTTATGTCCAACTTCAGGGAAAACACTGAGGCCTCGGGCAGCCCCAAGGGACACAATCTTCCCAATTCTTTCCAGTACTTTTTGTCTCAATCTTCTTGACACCAGTTGGGGCTGGCAGGAGACAGACATCTTGAGTCCAACAGCAACATGACATTCCTTTCTTTTCCATCATTCCATGGGAGTTCCCTCAGGATTTGGGGAAGCTGAGGCTGCCAACTTTTGAAGGCACTTCTCAGGCAGCCTATTGTGTGAACTTCTGCCCTGTGCTTGCAACAGAGAGGAAATGTTGACTTCTCAATTAAGCCTTCAACCACTTCTCAAAAGAAGCTGCTTTTCCATTACACGGTGACTTTAAAGTGAAGTGCCCATGGAACACAAGGGCTATGGCTTCTGGTTTCCTATGTTTCCTCGTAAAGAGTGAAAGCCGCTAATTGGTGAGCTAGGGAACTCCTCAAGCACAGAGTTCACTTCCAAAAAATGCGGTCCCTGGATGAGCCACATCAACAATTGCCTAATAGTTGGAAATGCAAATTCTCAGGCTCCATCCCAGACACACTGAGTCAGAAATTCTGGGGGTAGTACCAGGAATCTATGGTCTAAGGTGATTCTGATTTCATCCAAGTTGGGAAACCACTTCAACAGAGGGTTCTATTGCTGTTGAAGAGTTTGCTGAACACCATATAGTCAATTAAGTAGGCTAAAAGCTGCAGCCTCCTTTGGATGAGAGAGAGAGAGAGAGAGAGAGAGAGAGAGAGAGAGAGAGAGAGAGAGAATATGTTTAACATAAGTGTCAGATCAGAATCACTGCTCTGATTGAAAAAAGAAAGAAAACCCTATGGGACTGAAAAAAAAAAAAAAAACAGAATAAAAGGACTAAGGTTGACAGTGGCCCACTCTGAGCCAGGGCCTATGTATGGCTTTCTTTCCAGAACTTACAGAGACCTGTTCATTTTTTTCATGGGTCTTCGGGAGGTTTTATTATTTTCTTTTACATATTAAAAAGCTTTCAGTCATCAGAGCACTGAATGTCCACTAAGGGCCACAGCATTCTTGTTTTCCTTTTGAAGCTTTGTTATTCTTCCAGGAACATGCAGAAGAAGACAGAGCCAGCATTTACCCGTCTGTATTCACCAACTCTTCCAAGGAGATGATGTGCTTTCCGGACTTCCCGTACCCTGAGGATTACCCCAACTTCATGCACCATGGCAAGCTCCAGGAATACATAAGGACATTTGCTGAAAAGAAGAATCTTTTAAGATATATACAGTTTGAGGTATGAGCCTTGTAACTTGTGCTGTTGACATCAAATGTGTATGGGTTAGAGAGAAAGCAAGGGCACAGCACTCACCTAGAGGAATCAGAGCCAAATGGTTAAACACCGCCCCCACTGGAGGTAAGCTGTGTTGGTGCAGACTGTAAAGTATTCATGCATTGTTGATGTGTTTTGTTTTGTCTTTGTCCCTAAACATGTTCCCCATGAATCTCTGAGAGCTTTGAAAATGCCACAGAAAACGCTGTCACCATGTGCATTCCACCCTCATGCTCTCATATTTTAGCAACAATCTCAAATTCTCTAGTTCTTATTTGTGTCAATACTTTGTGGCTCAAGAAAGCATGGCATTCATTAGAAATTCTTCCATTATGAAGAAAGTAGCAACTTAAATGAATGATTAATACAGCTTTTTTCCAGCATTGTCCACCCACTTAGCTCCTTAGACTAGGAGCCTTGGGAATTATGGCATTGAGGCACTGACTTTGAAAATAACAGCAATGCTTTACCTTTGTTTAGAACTCTTAACCTCAGTTCTTTACTGTTAAATACAGAGCACATATACCTCAAAAAACAATCAGAAAAATTATGATGTTGGATTACATATATAATTTTATTTGTTGTGTTAAATAACAGTAAATAAAATTATATTATCTACTGTCCCAATTATGATTCTTAATTATAATGTTATAAATTAAAATAATTTATTAATTATAATAAACATGATTGCAATTGTATTTAATATTTTATTTGATTTTTACATATACTTACATAATAATGATACTGTGAAAGTAGCTAATATTTCCAAAGGAAGAGTATCTATTCAGAGCAACGGAGAGACTGTCCTGAACCCTAAGACATTCTCATACATAAGGAACAGATGGGAAGTGAGAACAAAGAGGAAGAAGTCATGAATGTCATGGAGGATGGCAGACTGCAAATGGCATTTTCCTCCAGAATACCCGCAGTTAGATACCCCAAATCCACTAACTTCTTGTCTAACGAGTAAAGATACCCCAGTAAGGAATTTTCCCTGTGAGATTTGAAGATTCACTGTGACTCCTATTTGAATGTCTTCCCATACATGTCTCAATGACCAGGAGAGCTCACAACAGTGATTTCCTCCACAGAAACACAGCTAAAATGTTAAATGCAGAATGATAACTAGAATAAATTTCTTTCTGATTTTCTTTAAGACCCTGGTTTCTAGTGTAAAGAAATGTCCCAGCTTCTTAGTTACTGGCCAATGGGAAGTTGTTTCAGAAAAGAACGGGAAGCAGGAATCAACTATTTTTGATGCTGTGATGGTTTGTTCGGGACATCATGTGTACCCCAATCTGCCAAATGATTCTCTTCCTGGTAAGTTTGGGAAATACGTAATAATTTTGGGACTTATACACAAACATCAATGTTGAACTAGATCTTTCCGTAGATTGTATATTGATTATTCTTCAGGTCTCAAAGATTTCAAAACAAAATTTTTAAGTTTAATGTTATGTGAAATGTAGTAATAATTGGCCTCCTGGGCCTCTATACTAAACGAATCAAGGACCTGTAAGTCAGAGTTAAGATGAAGACACAGGTCATATCTTAGACTCGAATCTAAGTCCTGACAGCACATGGGATCTCTGAGTGAAGTGATACATTCACAAAAATAGAGTTCAACTGCAAAATTGTTTAAAGAAAGTCATTTTCTTATTTATAACATAAACACATTTGTTATTTATAGAGGAAATTTGGGTTTTCTAATTTCATATATATATCCACATTTTGCAAATTAACTTTAAAATTCTCAGTGTGTGTGTGTGTGTGTGTGTGTGTTGGCACACTCCATTACTATACAAAAGTAGCAAACGTCAAATAATACAATACACAAACAGCCTTTCTTTCTTCCTTCCAACAGAAACACATGTCCACTCGAAAATATTAGAGTTCCCAACTCAAGGCATGATGTTCATAGGCCAAGATAATTAAAAGAGTAGAGATTCTGGGAAAATAGAAGGTCAAAACCACGAATGTTAAGAGGCAGTCTATATCCTTTAGGCTTACAATAAATAGTGTAGGCTTAGAACACCTGGCCTCAACTCCTTATTCCACTGGTTCCTTACCACGTGAATTTAGTAATCCACTTATTTGTCTCAATTTCCTTGTCTTTTAAAATTGAGATAATACCAATAGCTATCATCCAGAGATGTTATCAAGATTAAATGGTTAAAATATATAAAGCCTTTAGCAGAAGGCCTAGCCCACAGTAAGTTCTCAATAAATATTAGCTATTATTATTATCAAAATAGAAGTTCTCACCCTAGCCAGTTTGCTCAGTGGTTAAAGTGCCAGCCCACAGACTGAAGGGTCCCAGGTTTGATTCTGGTCAAAGGTGTATATCTCCATTGTAGGCTCGATCCCTGGGCCTGGTCTGGATGCATGCAGGAGCCAACCAATTGATGTGTCTCTCTCATATCCATGTTTCTCTCTGTCTCTCCGCCTCCCTCCCACTCTCTCCAAAAAATCAATGTTGGGGGCGGGGGGGATGTCCTTGGTGAGGATTAACAAAATAGAAGTTCTCTTATCTTAAGGGTTTCTTAAAGGCACTAATAGTAACTATTTGAAGGTTTCTTATCAAAAACCATCAAAAGGATAAATGCATTTCAAATAGGGACTGTTTTTAAAAATTAAGACTGCTAATAGGAGGTTTAAAAATAAAAATATCAAAATACGTGAGTCTTTATAATTTCTTCTCAAATCAACTCAAACTCTTCCCCATGTTCTACTTAGGCCTAGACCAGTTTCAGGGCCACTACCTCCACAGCCGGGAGTATAAGGGCCCAGAGGCCTTCAAGGGGAAGAGAGTCCTTGTGATTGGCCTGGGGAACTCGGGATGTGACATTGCGGTGGAGCTCAGTCGTCTGGCTACACAGGTAAACGAACAGAAAGGTTTGGGGGAAACACACCTGGAGTATGGCTGTGCTACTAAACCAAACACTGAGGACGGTGTTTGCCATGTCTTACCACAAGGAATCCCCCTGCTATATATGCCCATTAAATCAGGGGAGACTATCGACATTCTCCCTGTGAAGCAAGGTAATGTGGCCATGCTCATATGGAAGTGCATTCTGCTGGAACCAGAGGTAAGTGCATGTGCTATACACATATGCAAGTGCGCATTTCTTACTAATTTTATGTTCTGATCACCTCCAAGCAAACTGGTGGCTAGTCAAGCTCTACCTTTACTTATTTAATAGTAATTCTTATCACTTACCACCCTGAAGGTCTGGAAGATACACAAGGTATAGTTCTTACTACTGTTTATCTATTCAACAGCTACTGCGCAACCAGTATCAGGCACTTTTTTTTTTTAATGTAGGAATTTCAGATTTGTTTTTTTCTGTTTGTTTATTTATTTTAGAGAGAGGAAGGGAGAGGGAGAGAGAGATAGAAACATCAATGATGAGAGAGAATCATTGATCGGCTGCCTCCTGCACACCCCTTACTGTGGATCGAGCCCATAACCTCGGCGTGTGTCCTGACCAGGAATCGAACCGTGACTTCCTGGTTCGTGGATTGATGCTCAAACACTGAGCCACACCGGCGGGGCACAGGCACTTTTTATAAACAAACACACAAACAAGTCAGACTACTGCCTGACTTCAAGGAGCAGGCAATGGGTGGAGGTGGGATGACAGGTATGCATACCATTGCCAAAGGAAATAATGAGACATCAGCGACATTAGCTGTGGCAGTGGCAGCACCATGAAAGAAGAACCTAACGTAGCCTGGATGGAGTCAAGGAAGGCTTCCCAGAGGACTCCAGGCTGCATCATACATGACCAGGAGACCCTGAAGAAACAGCATATTTTTAAGGAAATGGGTGCTCAATAAATAAATTCGTAAATATGTGGAAAGAAAAGCTTAGGATTTTTAAAGTCATTTTTCCTTGGGTTATTACAAAAGTGGTACAATAGGCAGGCAGCCGGGCTTGACTCCAGGCTGAGGCAGCTGCCATGTTTTGGGCTACCCCACAAGGTGCTGGGTAGGTGTGTAGAGAGAAATAGCAAAGGAAACCAGGGACAGAGAACAGAATTCAATCCTTGGCATCTCCTCAGCCTCATTTCAGCTGGAGATTTAGCTACATTTCCCACACACAACCCAGCAACTCCACCACTGAGGTCCACTGGGTTAGCTGGTTTCTACCAGACCTACCATCTTATTCTCTGAGTGTATGAAGATGAAACATGTTTGTGGGCTGAATACAGAGCCCTCTGGTTCTGAGATAGTAGGTTCTCATTCTTTCAACAACTATGCATTAGCCTTCTAGGGTGGAGAGGGGAGTAGGTCTGCCCCTATCTGGTTTCAATTATGAACCCACCTTTTTAGAGATGCTCTTGCCTAGAGAGTGAAGGAAATAAATACATGGATATGTCCATAGACTTGTGTTGTATCTGCTTATTTCTCACAGAATGATATTGAAATCAATGTTGCTTCCCCCACCAGGTCATGATCAGCACCAGAAGCGGTTCCTGGGTCATGAGCCGGGTTTGGGAGGACGGCTATCCTTGGGACATGGTGTACATTACGCGGTTTGCATCCTTTCTCCAGAATGTCCTTCCTTCATTCCTCTCTGACTGGCTATACGTGAAGAAGATGAACACATGCTTTAAGCATGAGAACTACGGCCTGATGCCTTTAAATGGGTACTGCAAATAACACATACTTATCATTCAAAAGAGTGGGGCTCTAGTTTAAGTGGAATTTTTCCTCTCTAGATCTTACTTTAGTTATTTCACTGAGGCTGGTCGGGATTGAATGGATGACTATATAGGAGACGTGGTAAACCCAGAGATCAGGTATGGGATAAAAATCTTACTGAAATTAGTCAAGTGGGGAAAGGCATATGGAAAAGTACAAAAGGGGATGGAGCAGGCAGCTAGATCACCCTGATGTGCAGGATTTGGTTGTGGTAGCTACAATCTAGACAGAGGTTTGTGGACTGAGCCAACTCATAAACTCTGTGATTTTTTAAATATATTTTTATTGATTTCAGAGAGGAAGGGAGGGGAAGAGAGAGATAGAAACATCAATGATGAGCATCACTGATTGGCTGCCTCCTGCAGGCCCCCTACTGGATCAAGCCCACAACCCAGGCATGTGCCCCGACCAGAAATCAAACCCTGACCTTTTGGTTCATAGGTCAATGCTCCACCACTAAGCAAGACTGACTGGGCATAAATTGTGTGGGGGTTTTTTTGTTTGTTTTTTTAATCCTTATCCGATATCCCAGTGATTTTTAGAGACAGTGGAAGAGAGAAGGAAAGACAGAAACAACGATGTGAAAAAGACACATCAATTGGTTGCCTCCTGCACACACCTTGACCAGGGCCTGGGCCAGGGAGGAGCCTGTAACCAAGGTACATGCCCTTGACTGAAATCAAACCCAGGACCTTTTGCTCCACAGGCCAGCGCTCTATCCACTGAGCCAAACTGGCTAGGGCTAAATTGTGTGTTTTTTTAAGGAACGTCTTGTCTATGCTTATGGGCGAATGGGGATAGAAATAATAATACTTACTCCTCAAGGCTGTTGTGGTTTTCAGTAAGATTAAAAATATATACAACTTACTTTGTAAACTATAAAGCTTCACAAAACACTGGTTCTTAATAGCCTCAAATGTTTAATATGATTCTATGGAGCAATTAACATGTCTTAGCAAGTAAGAAGTCTCAAAACAAAAGCCCGCACCTCCTCCTCCATGGAAGAGTTGGCATTTTTCCAGGATGGTCAGAGGGCATGGGACACACCAGGTATTTGATTTCCACAGAACTGATGAAGTCAATAAGTGTAAAGAGATTCATGTATGCGTTTTTCTAGGGAGACAGAGCCCAACCCCTTCTAATGAGAAAGGCATTCTAGGTAGAAGAATCACTGTATCAACAGAAAAAAAAAAATTAAATGGGTAAGAAAAGAGAGGATCCACAGAGAAATTTTATATTTGGCCCACGCCAGCAGAAGTGTTGCATTGTGTTTAGAGAAACGGTTAAGGAAAAACAAGAGGGAACTGGAAATTGAAATAGCAAATGCCAGGGTTGGGAGCCAGAGCCTCACTCCACCGCACTGATGCGACCTAGTCTGGCAGACTGCTGGGCCCCTAAAGAAAAAAGAAAAGGTGATTTCATGCGTTTAAAATTATGTTTAATGTACTAGAACTTCTAACGCTCGAGCTAGTTAAGATTATTTTTTTTTTGTCCTGTAACAGTAACTGCAAATTGTATTTTGCCTTTGTTCTTGAGACAACTGAAACACAGTTTTGGAAGTCTACTACTAAGAACTAAGCTCCTTCCTAGAAAGGGTTCCAAGTAGCCTAAGGTATTGACATACTCTCACTCCTGCCGTGGAGAGCAGAGGTGGGAAAGGGGAGAGAAAAACAGGTTTCACTGTGACCTACGTGTTGTCACCTTTTAAGGTAAAAGAAGAGATTGCAGGGTTAGAGAGGTGGAGAACAGTGTGGAAGAATAGGGGCAAATTCTAAGATTTAAAAAGTTACTTAGGATTTGAGATAGAAGAAAGTCCCAAATCCCTGAAAGTTAACTCAAAATGAAGAATATCATAAAAAGGGGGGGGTGGGGCGGGGGCTAGAATTTTGGCAACAGAAGTGCAGTATCCAAATTGTTATACTTTCTTCTGTGACCACAGTTGATGAAAGGCATGGCAATAAAACAGCCCACCATAACAAATCTGATTTCCTCACGTACGATGCGACCTCAGCTACAGTAATAGTTCACTTATAATAATGATGCTCTCCTGTGCCAGGCACTCTTTTAAGTGCATTACAGAACATTGTTTTATTCTCAGAGCTACCTCATGAGGTAGATTCTATGTTATCTCCATTTTACACGGAAGAAAACAAGTGCAGAGAAGTAGCAGCCAGAAAGAGATGGGGTTAGGTTATACATTTAGGTCATCTAGTTGCAGAGTCAACACTCAACCACTTTATTATGCCTCCAAATTAGTGTTATTCTAACTCTTTTGGTGAGTTACATACCCATACCCGTAAGAGCATTTTCAAGTTTCCAGGCACCAAAAGAGGCAGCTCAGACAGAAATTCTTAGGAACTGCTTTAGGCAATAGGAAAGGAATTACCCAAAAGAAGAGAATTCCGTTGTCCTCATGCTGATGTTCACCTGCTCAAATTTGGTTGCAAAACTAAGGGCTGTTGTAGATATCTCTTGGAAATGATGTACTTTACAGCAAAGGCCTTGTCTCTTGTGTCTGCACAGTGCCCTGAGGAAAGAGCCTGTGTTCAATGATGAGCTCCCATCACGCATCCTGTGTGGCACACTGTCCATCAAGCCTGGTGTGAAGGAGTTCACAGAGACCTCAGCCGTGTTTGAGGATGGGACCGTGTTTGAGGCCGTTGACTTTGTCATCTTTGCAACAGGCTATGCGTATGCCTACCCCTTCCTTGATGACTCCATCATCAAGAGCAGAAACAATGAGGTCACCTTGTTTAAAGGCATCTTCCCCCCAATGATGGAGAAGCCAACCTTGGCCGTGATTGGCTTTGTCCAGTCCCTTGGGGCTGCCATCCCCACAGCGGACCAGCAAGCCCGCTGGGCTGCTAAAGTGTTTGCAAGTAGGTGGGCCATTCTTTCATTCAGTCAGTCAGCAAACGTTTACTGAGATACCAAGCTAGGTGCTAGAGATATACGTAAAGGGAACCAGATAGACATGCTGCTTGACCTCAGAGAATTTAAAGTAGGGTGAGGGAAATGCCACAAGAGGGGAAACCTTAGGGTTTTCCCGTGAGGGGAGCTAGACAGTGAGTTATTCCAAGAGGAAAAGACATAAATGTGAGAACAGCATAAAGTGTGTGAGGATCCAGAAACATTTTGGTGTGAGGCAATATAAAGCAGAGGCAGGGAGTGGCAAGAAATGGAGGAAAGAACCAGGATGTGGAAGGCCCATATAAGCTGTGTTAAAGAGCTTAGACTTCTAGTGGGAGAATTGGAAGGACTTTGAAAGGCTGTGAGCAAGAGAAGGATAGCAGTGGGTCACTGAAATGTCAAAGTACATAGCAAAGGTTGGAAAGGACATGTCAAGTACGTTGTGGATAAATTAGCTTTTCTTTTTTTTTCTTTTTTTAAAATATATTTTATTGATTTTTTTACAGAGAGGAAGGGAGAGAGATAGAGAGTTAGAAACATCGATGACAGAGAAACAGCGATCAGCTGCCTCCTGCACATCTCCTACTGGGGATATGCCCGCAACCCAGGTACATGCCCTTGACTGGAATCGAACCTGGGACCTTTCAGTCTGCAGGCCGACGCTCTATCCACTGAGCCAAACCGGTTTCGGCAAATTAGCTTTTCTTTTATGTATACCTCGGAGGAGAATTACCACTAAAAGCCCTGTCATGTGATCTTTTTAACAGTGCTCCCCTATAAAATACTCCTATTGTCTTTTCTCTTGAAAGGCACAACAGTGCCTCATGCCTGAGGTATGGTAGGAAGATTGGACACAGTATATAACCCCCCCTCCCAAAAAAAATTTATAAGAAACAAAGGGTATTATTTATTCATTCAGCAAATATTACTTGAGCACCAACTATGTGCCAGGCTCTGTCTTGGCACTTAGGACACAACATCAAACAACATGATTAAAATTCTAATAGAAATACAGCAAATATCTGACCACAGTGCACCACTACGTTGAGATAATATGCTAACAAGGACTGGGATGTGTTTGTACACTGTGAATGTCACAATAACTTCTTGCCATTGTTACAAAGGCCAACGAGCTACCATCAGCAATTGGAAAAAACCTCGGATGATGTAGTGAAAATCACAAAAAACTAAAAAAAGATTTTGCTGCCCCCTTTTAAAAATGTTTTATTTTTCAATTACAGTTGACATACAATACCATATTAGTTTTGGGCGTACAACATCGTGATTAGATATTTATAGACCTTACAATATCCTCTTTGGCTGCAGGCTGATTCTGAAAAAAAACATGCTTCTGTCTTCTGTCCCATTTTCATTGCCATGTACCTTAAGAGTGAACTATTTCACCAGATTATTTCTTGAAAGAATCCTTAATAAGAAGAAGTAGACAAGAAATTTGAAGAAACTCTTTTAGCTATTATGTGCATGAGGCTCCTGAGTATATTGAGGATGAGGCCCTCCATAAGGTCACAGGAATATGAGATTGGGTGATTTAAAGCTACGAACCCTTCCGCTGTCACTATCTCATTGCAGACCAGCTTTGAGATTCCCAAAGCAGGTTTCACTGGCTTCTCAAATCTTTCTTTCTATGAATTTTTACTCTACTAAAGATACTGAATAAAATTCATCATGTGTCAATTATACATTTCTGATTTGCTTTTTTCAATATTTCTCTCTTCATTTCTTCTCTAGACTCATGTACCCTGCCAACTACAAAGGAAATGATGGATGATATTGATATGAAAATGGGAAAGAAACTCAAGTGGTAAGAGGTTGTACATGCTAATGAAACAATTAGAAGACTAACTATAATCAAACAATATTAGGTGGGAAAAGAATAGTCATTACATTTCTCCTGTATAAAACTAAGTTCTCAAATGGGTGATTTTGCCCCCCAGGAGACATTTGGCAAAGTCCAAAGAAGTGTCCAGTTCAAAATGCCAGTAGTGCTGAGGTTGAGAAATGATTATAACACTTTCCCAAAGAGCTTCTTTCTCATTAGCCACATGTCTGTCCTACACACAGCGATCAGACAAGAAAAAGATAAAAGGTATCCAGATTGAAAAGGAAGAAGAAAAACTGTCACTATTTGCAGATGACAAGATATTATGAATAGAAAACTCCTTTTTTAAAAAAAAAACACACCAAAACTACTGTTAGAACTAAAACAAATTCAGTAAAGCTGCAGAATACAAAACCAAAATACAACTTTCTGTTGCATCTCCACATATTGATAACAAATTATCGGAAAGAGAAATTAAGAAAGCAATCTCATGTACAATTTCATCAAAAAGAATAAAATGTATAGGAATAAATCTGCACTGAAAACTATAAGATACTGATGAAAAAAATTGAAAACACAAATATTGTAAATGGAAAGATATTTAATGCTCGTGAACTGGAAGATGTAATACAACCCCTATAAAAATATCAACAGTGTTTTTCACAGAACTAGAACAAATAATCTTAAATTTTATATGGAACCACAAAAAAACCCTGAATAGCCAAAGAAATCTTGAGAACTAAGAACAAAGTTGGAGGTATTACCCTCTGTGACTTCAAATTGTACTCCACATCAGTAGGGTTCTGACACAAAAACAAATACCTAAATCAATGGAACAGAATACAGAGCACAGAAATAAACCCATGCTTATGGTCAATTAATCTACAACAAAGGAGGAAAGAATATATAATGGGGGGGGGAGAAACAGTCTCATTAATAAATGATGTTGGCAAAACAAGACAAATGCAAGAAAACCTGAAACTAGGCCATTTTCTTACACTATATACAAAAATAAACTTACCTACAATAAGATTAAAGACTTAAATGTACGTCCTAAAACCATAAAACTCCTAGAAGAAAACAAAGGCAATAAATGCTTTTACATCAGTCTTTGCAATGTTTTTTAACATGTTTCTTTGGGTAAAGGCAACAAAAGGAAAAATACACAGATAGGACTAGATCAAAGTAAAAAGCTTTTGCAACAAACAAAAAACTCATAGATACAACAGAACGTTGGTTACCAGAGAGGAAGGGGGTGCTGGAAAGATGAAAAAGGTAAATAAGATAATGGAAGGAGATTAGATTAGGGATGTTGAGCACACAATAGAGTATACAGATGTTATATTATAAAGTTGTACACCTACAATTTATGTTATTAACCAAAGTTACCCCAATAAATTTAAGAAAAATAAAGCTTTTGCACAGTGAAAGAAACCATCAATAAAACAAAAACGCAACCTACTGAATGGGAGAAGATATTTGTAAATGATATGTCCAATAAGAGGTTACTATCCAAAATATATAAAGAACTCATATAATTCAATAGCAAAAACAAAAAATCTGATTAAATAATGGGCAGAGGACCTGAACAGACATTTCTGCAAAGATATGCAGATGGCCAATGGACTCATGGAAGATACTCAACATCACTGATCATCAGGGAAATGCAAACCAAAACAACAATGAGGTATCACCTTATACCTGTCAAAATGGCTATTACCAAAATGACAACAAGTGGCAAGTGTAGGCGAGGAATATCAGTAGATATTCCTCAAAAAATTAACAATGGAACTACAGCATGACCCAGCAGTTCCACTTTGAGGTATTTATCTGAAGAGAATGAAAACAATAATCTTGAAAGATATATGCACCCCTATGTTCATTGCAGCATTGTTTAAAGTAGTCAAGATATGAAAGCATCGTAAGTGTCCATCAATAGATGCATAGATAAAGAAGATGTGGTACATTTATACAATAGAATTCTACTCAGCCACAAAAGAATAATAAAATCTTGCCAGTTGCAACATGGATGAATCCAGAGTGTTCAATTACATGCCAACTAGAGTTAAAAATAAATTTTAAAAACAGAATAATCATGTATTAAAGAGAAAACTAAATTAATCAGCCAAATTGAGAACCCAGTTCACTTCAGGCCACATGGCCAGAGGCAAAAGCCTAAAATGACATCAAAGTTGAGTAGAAATTAGGAAGGAAAGAAAAATAAAAAGCTTATTTATAGCCAAAGAACAAATTATAAATTTAATGTTGTGGCAAAAGAGAGGAGTGTGGGTGTTACTAGAGGTGCTGACTAAAATTTGAGTTTTCCTGAGATAGAAAATAAGAAATCGGTGCTTCTGTTTACAACTCATTCCTATGTGCTCTTTTCTTTCCTCAGGTTCGGACAAAGCCAGACTTTACAGACAGATTACATCACCTACATGGACGAGCTGGGCTCCTTCATCGGGGCCAAGCCTAACATACCATGGCTCTTCCTGACTGATCCCCAGCTGGCGCTGCAGGTGTTCTTTGGTCCTTGTAGCCCATATCAGTTTCGACTTATGGGACCGGGAAAGTGGGAGGGGGCCAGAAAGGCCATCTTGACCCAATGGGACCGGACAGTCAAGCCAATCAGGACAAGAAGAGTCAGTGAAGCTCACAGACCACAACCTTTTCACAACTTGTTTAAAATTCTCTTATTTCCACTGCTTCTTCTACCTGTTTGGCTGGCACTTTATTAATGAAAGGGTTCTTGGGTCTCAGAGTTCAGCCTAGACGTTCAGTTACTGATATGCCTATACATGTACACGTATAAAATCTCATACCTGCTCTTTCC